ACTCAACCCCTTCCTCAAAAAAAAAAAAAATTAAGATGAAAATAAATCCTGACTGCCCTACCCCCTCATCGAATCATGCTACCTGAAACATAATTTCTTTGCCTAACGCTGTTTTTATATGAAAAACAAACTTTTCCCATAAGTAAACACTTTTGCAAACTTACCAGCACATGTGATTCCAGTTCATGTATCCCTCAGCACTAACACTGTAGCCGACCATATCAGTCAGGCATTCTTTGGCAATGGAACAGTTTGGTACCCTTATGTCAGCGACCATATCACATCCAATTGAAGTTATGTTATGGAACCATTCCACAGTGCTGGCAAAGAACTGACGTCTCGCCGGGGAGCAGGCCTGCGTTTTTGTGGCTACACAGGACGCCATTGTTAGTTGTTCCCTTTAAAAATGAAAGCGTTATTTATATAAAAAAATATTGCTGATATACCCATTCTCAATATGAAAGACCTCTGTGGTGCTTCCTGTAAATGGATTTACCAATTTCAAAAAAAAAGGAAATTTTGTTTAAACTTACCCAATTTTACCAAACCAATTTAATGATATCTTAATATTTCTTCTATATAAAAGAAGTATCTTGCATAAAAAAAATACTTTTCTTCCAAAATTTGATGAAGAATACAATTAGTAGAGTTGATATTCATTTCTTGCAATACCAAATCCTGATGAAAATGTACACTCACCAGCAGACACTGGTGAATTCGTCGACGTTGAGGAAGGACGTCGACATGATACGCAACAGGTTACCACTGATGCAGAAGGACGCACCCTCAAGGTCACACTCAGCAGGCTCTGAGTTAACAAATAAATATATCAACTTTAGGATAAATGCATTATTGATTTGACATGAAATGCCAGACATGTTTAAGCAGGCCTTGCAAGGCCTTGGCAAGGCTTGCCTGAAAGCAGCATCAGATTACTAGGTCCGACTTTATTTCATAAATGAACAACTTTGGTCCAACTGTTTGGATCAGGATAAATGAAAATGGCCATAGAGATCACATTTAGACAAAATGAGGTAATCAAGCATTTTTCCCATTTATATGACGTATAAAAATGAGTATATATCAGGAATCAGTATGTACAGACCTGGTACAGACATCCAGGAGTCGTCCATCGCAGGGGGAGGGTTATACGCCATGAACTCGCACAGGAGGTCCCCTGAATCACATTCCCCTGAAAACAGACACAATTAATTCATTATGTGTACTGGAAATTAATGTGTATGTACATATTTTTTATTTTACTTGGCAAGGAGAATGGATCAAAAATATCTTACAAGTATTTATTTGCTGCGGCTGTTAAATTTCTTTTGTGAATTATATTAAGAATAATTGTTCAAGTAGTCAAAGAATTCCGTAGGATTGGATGTGTGTCCTGCTCTGCGCTTTTAGTGAGAAAAAATGTTTTGGCTTGAGCTTTCATGTAAAAAAGCAAAAATTAACGGCAAAAACGATGAACAGCGAGATGTTTTGGCTTGAGCTTTCATGTAAAAAAGCAAAAATTAACGGCAAAAACGATGAACAGCGATGCTCTGTCAAGTGTGATATATGCCAAAACGCAGAAAGTTGAAACTCGACAGAAGGAAACAGAATACATGTTGAACATTATTGCTTCTAGCATTACCGTACAAAATTTAAAAGAAATTGATTAAAAAAAGTTCTTGCATTTACATGTACTACACAATGCTCTTATTTGGCAATAAAAGGGGCATAATTCATCTAAAATGCATGTAGACTTCTGAAATGTATCACTTATCCAAACTGTATTTGTATGCAATATGTGTACTAAGTTTGAGTTCAATCAACCCAAGGGAACTCAAGTTATCGCACGGAAACCTTGATTCGGATGACGCAACCAACATTAATGATAGGTAATACCTATATGTCGCCTCGCGTTACAGGCGACACAAAAATTCGACCTATCAATAAGATAAACCATAGTTTGTAGATACAGGCAGTAATGTATTTCTGATTATTCATGTCCAGTGTAAATTGCATGAATTTCTGAAAATCAAGTTTCTGTGCTTAAATTTGAAATATTTTTTTTATCTCAAATATAGGAAATATTCATCACAGGATTTAGGATAAGAAAATGTTCATCACAGGACTAAGAATGTTTCATATTTATTATGGGATGAGAATAAGGTTTTGACATCCTTACGGGGACTGCGATCCATGCTTGAACAGGCTTGGTCCATGATATTGTGAGAGAGGGAGGCCAGACTTGACAGGTACACTTTGCCGGCACGGGGCAAAGGAACATTGTAGATACATGTGTCCATCCTCATTGCTGCCATACACAGGTTATAGGTGGAACCTGAGGTCAGGTTCACATAATTTTCATGCAAAAATCCGGTGAAATTTGCCAGACATGTGGCAAGAAGTCCATACGGGTCCGTCGCATGCATCTCATACTGTTGTTGAAGATCTTGGATGACGCTGCATAACGGTGAGCCATAACTAGCAAATTTATGTAGCGCATACAACACCGGAGCTTTCTGCACCATCAGACACTGTGAGGTTTGCGAGTCCACACAGTCGGCCGCCCTACTTAGAGCACTGTGAGATAAAAAAAAAACACAATACATTACACAGTATTATCATTTACCAAACTATAATAACAGTATCTTCCAAGTCATCTGCTTTTGAACAGGTCAACCTGCGAATGACCTTCATAACCTGCAAATGTTGTAGTAGATATATATACTTTGAAATATCCTGCATTTGCACTGCTTACCCCAACACTAAAAATGATTAAAAATCACCATTTAAATAAACATATTGATTGTTTTTATAGTTGTTGACGAAAGGAAACAAAATCAAAGTTTCAAGATTTCAAGATTAATCAATCCTCTAGTGCTTTTACCTCTTCAAAAGAAATAAGAAGGGCCTGAAGAGACAAAAGAACTACAGGACAACACTAGAGCACTGACATGTCAGCAAGGGCCCGTCAAAGTGATATTCAATTAAAGGTCAAAGGAAATGAAAACATGTGATAAGCAGAATCCGACTTACTTGCAATAGTCGTTACTGTTTGGGTCAACACCTCCTAACCCATTGAAACAATAACGTAAAGCAATGGCTGGCTTACATTCTATCACTGGTGTATACAGCTCCCTCATAACCTCTGCCATCATGTAAACAGTGTCACCAAACCCATCTGTAAATACAAAGGTCAAAGTCAGGGTCATACACTCAGCCGAGGTCATGGTTATTATGTGCAGCAAAGGTCAAGGTCGCACACACAAGGCCAAGGTCAGGGTCATTAACATAGCCAAAGTCATGGTTATGCACAGCAGATCTAGAAGTCAAGGTCATACACACACTGACAAGGTCGAGGTCATACACACTGCATAACCTTGACCTTGGCTGTGTGTGTATGACTGTGACCTTGGCAGTGTGTTATGCTCAAAGTAAAGCCCAAGATTACCGGTATGCAACTTATTAATCAAAAATTTGTTTACATGTTAAATGATGATTTTGAGTCTATTTGCAATATCTGTGTATATATCCATTTCATGGGTTACTTGTTTTGTTCGAGTGCCATTTTCAAAGGTAACCTTCCCTGTATGAGCGCTATTTTTACAGGCTACATATTCTGCGAAGCGCCATTTTCTCAGGTTATTTCCACGGTATGGGTGCCATTTTGATAGGTAACTTACACTGTAAGAGCCCGATTCTGTCTGTCATTTTATCCTGGATCATTTCAGTGAGGTCTGCCAGGTCTTTGAAGTAGTCACTGGAGTTACCAAGGTTACCGAGGTCACAGTAGGCCTTCAATTTCATCAGGATATCCCCGTATGATGCCATGGCAATGTTGAATACCACAGCATCACACTGTTCTGTGTTCCAACGTACACACAGCAGCATCTTGTAGGCAGTTCTGTAAATCATGGTAACTTTTTAAACCCTTATACATCAAATGATGCTGAAAGTACAATGTATGATCAATACTATGGATAGTATAAGGGACTTCAGGTGAGATCATTATTCCTGATTTACAGTTCTTGTCCAAGTAATATTCAATGAGGCCAAGGGCTGAGGTCAGAAATGTTCTGGCTAGGTCTGTAAATCACAGAAAGACTGAAAATTGATTTAATAAACACTCCACCAATGTTTTACATCATATCTTTTCACATGTAACCCATTCAGCCCTCACGTCACAGCTGAATTGCTGTCACATCAAATTATTGAACAAGTTTTAACAAATTCAATATGACATGATATGGACACTCATGCAAAATTCTATTTATCACATAACATTCATAATTGTGAAAAACAACTTCAAACACAAGCAGCTGAATCTATAAAGGTCTAAACCAAAGTATTCAGATCATAGAATTGTTGTTATGAGGAGTACAAAGTAGTTCCAGATTTATTTTTTAGCAAAAACATCCAAATTTGTCAAGAAAAAAATGCAGTTTTAATAAATTTACAATTTTGTAGGGGCCCAGGCTATGTTCCCATGGTTTTGACTAATCAGAGCACCTTAAGGTTTCATTACAAGTGTGTACTTGTATTACCATATTTATGACCTCAAGGCATAGTAAAATAGGTCAGCTATGTGATAAAACGAAGTATTATATTATTGTTTATTTTTCATTTTTTTTTCTCAAATCTTGTCTGTTAACCATGCCATTTATAAAATATTTCATGCCAAGTTGATGAAAAGGGATAATAACCTGAAAAGGATGTTAAATCCAACTTACCCGCAGAAACGCTTCTTGTCTGTGTACTGTACTCTCCTTTCTTCCATTTCCTCCAGCATTGAGAGTTGTACACATTGTTCGGCACCCTCTAAATTGCACAGTGCCCTTGGAGTCTCCATACAGGTGTCACTCATCACACTTTTCACCAACTTTACATCTGCTGTAAGCTGGTAGGCGTCATCAAAGCTGCAATCCTCCGTAAGTAAGGAGGTCACCACGTCACTTTGTGCGGTTTTGGCCCACCTGATCATAGAATAGGACAAATGTTGAAACTCACTTAACATGCATTTTCTTCACCAAACACATTTTCTTTTGTTCTAGCTAATCGGCAGAAAGCGTTTTACAATTTAACCAAAAATTTAACCCTTTCAACTGTATGTACATGTAACTTTAATAGGCTCAACCAGAAATTTAGCTGGAGGGGTTCATTACGGTCTGGAGTGGTGATAGGGTCAACGGCCACAGAAAACAAAGTGACATATATGTAACAGGTACTTTTATCCTGAAACTAAGAAGGTAAATGTTTTCTTTTAGTTAAAATGGGTCCGAAAGTTCCTAGAATTCACAGATTTAGCATTTACACCTGTATAACATCAGATTTCCTTAAATCAACAACACTATCATTTAACTAATTCACCCCTGAAGACACATTTTAACTCTTCCAATTCAAAGGTTGGAATAGTTTAATATTATGAAATTTTCAGGGGGGAATGAGTTAATCATTTCAATGTTTCCCATTAAAAAACTTTCACATGTGATCCTTTATGAAGCTTATGTATATAAGCGTAGTTTAAACTGATAAATTTCATTCTATCTATCTGTATTTATATTGCTACCATCCATACTGAATTTATCATACTTGGTAGTATACTTTATAATTAAATGTAACCTATTATAATGTCTTCAGATAGGAACGCATATGTACAATACATAAGTAGGGCCAGTTTGTTTTCATTAATGATATGCAGTAGGGGGGCCAGGTCAACGAGTAATTTGATTGGTCAACAGATTCAAGCTAAACATCTTCATTGTTTTAGCTGGCAGTTTAGTTAGCTTGGGATTTATCAATCGTGTTTACATTTCTACCTCTACTCATCTAACGTATTCAATATATATATTTAAACATTTGCATTTATCATCTTTTCCAATGGATTGAGTTCGTTCACCGTAATTAGCATTTCTTTGCGATGTTTGTTTACATCGAGTGACTTTGCGTACGGAAATTTTCTCACGCTTGTTCTCCCGCCATGGCGCCTAAAGGAAAATCCACTACGAGCACAAAACGTAAAACCAGAACTTCAAAAACAACACCGTGGGACTCTAACAACCCTCAAAACTGGACAATTCAGCAACTTAAAAGTGAGTTGGAGAAATTGAACATTCATGGTTCTTTCACGGGAATGTCAAAAATCGCGCTACGGAATTTGTATCTCGAAAACGTAAACAGACACCGAGAAGTAAGTGTTACGGCCTCCCAGTCAGAATCTGTTACGCCTGCCAATATTACGAATACATCTGCAGATGAAGTTTTAGATACTACGAACAATTCATCCTTAGATGCTTGTGCTTTGGACATTTCCGATGTGGAACTACTTTCCGACGCGGAACATTCCGCGCACTCATCCCAGACGGTTTGTGATCAGTCCGCGCAACCTACAGGAAGTCAATCTGCTACGTCACGGCGGAGGGATTCCAACATGGCAGCGCCCAGTGTGGATAACAACCAAGAGATACAGCAGCTTCAGAAAACAGTGATCGAGCTACAACAGACCATGATAGCGATGATGAGCTCACAAACGACGGCTAAGGAGTCTGTTCCAGAATCATCGTCAGGATATACTCTCGCCACAGCATTAGAAGCACTGAGAAATACCGGCGACTGTACGGCAAATGTCGCGTCAGCCAGCACCAGTACAGGTGGGTACAGATTACCTAAATCGCAATATGGTGTACCGGCAGAGTGTATTCCACATGTCGATGTCGTATCTGAGAATGTACAGAAGAAAATATGGGAGGGTAGAGACATTAATCTTGCCAGCCTTCTAATCCCACGATATGAAACATGTAAAAATACTGGAGACAGGATGGACGGAATTCATATCAGTATTAATGAGGTAGAAGACCCCCGCCTAAGTAAGTCGCTCAGTATCTCGGAATACATCACAGCTTTTGGAAAGTACAAGAGGGTGCTCTGTACCAAATTCCCAGAGCGACGACCAGAATTGGACAGATATGAAGCAAATGTAATTGAAATTTCTAACATCTACGGCTCTCATTTTTATGAGTACCACTGCCAGTTCTCAGCTAGGGCGGCAGCAGCATTGAGAGACAATAACATTAAGGTGGATTGGGCGATTAAGGATAATGGTCTTCTCAACATGGTAGTATGTAATGCCAAAGTAAACACCTGTCAGCTGTGTGGCTTAACTACACATTCTACTGCCTTCTGCCCACAGCAGCGCCACAAAACATCACATTCTAGACATCAGTCAGGAGTGAGTAGGAAAGAAGTGGACAAACATGGCCGCCAAAAAGTCAAAGTTAATGGGCAAGAGTTGTGCAATAACTTTAACAATGGCAAATGTACCAGGGGAGACTCATGTTTTTTCGCTCATATTTGTGCTAATTGTCAGGCCAACAATCATGGAGCCGCAGTGTGTAAGAAAAACAAGACGTCGCAATGACAATCAGTTATGGACAATACATCTTCAACTCCTATAAACATTGAGTGTTTGGCTGAGGAATTACAAAAACACCCCAACAGAGAGTTTGTGAATTATCTTATAGACGGACTAAAGCAAGGTTTCGACACCATGGTGTCAACTACTTCTCTGCCTACTATAGAATGCAAGAATTTACAATCGGCATACAACAATTCTGGTATTTTGGACTCCCTGGTCGCATCCGAGGTAGAGAAAGGATTTTTATGTGGACCTTATATTCAACTACCCTTTAGGCAGTACAGAGTTAGCCCTATAGGAGTAGCTATTGGAAAGTATTCTAAGAAACCTCGCCTTATAGTAGACTTGTCATCCCCGCACGAGGACAACACACATCCATCGGTTAATGAATTAATAGACAAGGAGCAGTGTTCACTGAGCTATGTCAAGATAGATGATGCCATATCACTCATACAATCTCTAGGCAAACACACAACCATGTGCAAGACTGACATCTCTGATGCTTTCAAGTTGATGCCTATTCATCCTAGTCAGTGGCACTTGTATTGTATCCTTTGGAAAGGGAAGTACTATTTCTACAATAAATTGGCCTTTGGGTGTAGATCAAGTCCAAAAATTTTTGACACCTTATCGGAAGCTATTTGTTGGATCGCGCGAGAGAACTATGGCATACCACACATCTTACACCTACTTGATGACTTTATAACATTTGAATGTCCTAGCAAATGTGGAGAGAGAAATATGGCATTGTTATATCTGATTTTTAACAGACTCAATATCCCCATGGCAAAACACAAAACATGCGGACCTGAAACAGTCATAGAGTATTTGGGTATCATTTTGGATTCCAACAAGATGGAAGCACGACTACCAGACGACAAACTCTGCAGAATAACAGAATTTCTGACAGACTTTCAATCGAGACAGTCGTGCACCAAAGGGGAGATGTTACAACTGCTTGGTCATCTTAATTTTGCGAGCAGGGTAGTGCTTCCAGGAAGATCATTCGTGTCTCACTTAATTCAACGTTCCACCACTGTGAAAGCTCTACATCATCATATCAAGATAAATAATGAGTGTAGGGAAGATGTTAAAATGTGGCTACAGTTCTTGCTACAGTGGAATGGTGTGTCAATGTTTTACAATACCCAAGTTATCACATCTGATGATTTATATCTTTACACTGATGCATCAGGAACACGTGGTTATGGTGGGTATTTTCAACACGAGTGGTTTGCCCAGCCATGGCCTGCAGGGTTACAAGGAATGGTGTCTAAATCCGACGAGTTATCTATAGCTTTCAAGGAATTATATCCTATTGTAGTAGCTGCACTATTGTGGGGCCATAGGTGGTTAGGTCAACGTATTGTGTTCATGTGTGATAACTCCGCTACCGTGGCTATTCTTCAGAAAGGCCGATCCAGATCAGCTCACATCATGCCACTAATGAGGAGATTAACCTGGTGTGCAGCAACCCATAACTTTTCTATATTATCTAAGCATGTTCCTGGCAAACTCAATGTCATAGCTGATTCTTTGTCTCGGTTACAGCTGGAGAAATTCAGACAACTAGTCCCATCGGCTTGCAGGTACCCACGCGTGGTTCCAGCCCCTTCAGAGGTCTTGTGGAGCTCCAACCAGTCATCGAGAACTTGTGGAATGCAGCAATAGCCCCCAGCACAAGAACCACTTACCAGACAGGTTTTAACTTTTTTATTAGATTCCTCCTTATGACAGGAGTGATTGCTAGTGCTGGCGCGTTAGACATTCAAGTGACAGAAGATTTGCTGATATATTTTGCAGCACATTGTTTTAACAGTAAATTGTCTCATAATACAGTTAAACTATATTTATGTGGTATACGTTTCATGTGCCTTCAACAGAACATTGCATACCCGGTGGCGAAAGATATGCCACGTCTCTTTTCCGTGTTAAATGGCATTAAACGGTCGCAAGCTAAGCCAACTAGACCGCGTCACCCAATAACTTTTAACATTCTAAAGGAAGTTTGTGTATTTCTTCGGAAGACAACACACAGATTATTTGATGATGTGCTTTTGGAAACGGTGTGTATAGTGGCCTTTTTTGGGTTCTTAAGGTGTGGTGAGTTTACGGTTAAAAGCAAATTTGACTCATCTATTCATCTGTGCGTGAAGGACTTGGCTATACTACAGGATTGTGTAATATTGACACTTAAGTGTTCTAAAACGGACCCTTTCAGGAAAGGAATAGCCATCAAACTTTTCAAAACTGATAATTATATTTGTCCTTACAATGCATGTCGCCAGTATATCACAGCAAGGCTACAACAGAATCCATCTCCTTTGGATCCATTGTTTGCGAACCATGATGGCAATGCTTTATCACGTAATACATTTCTTGCTAGGTTCAAGCATACTCTTAAATGTGTTGGTATTAACCCAGATATGTATAATGGCCATTCATTTAGGATTGGTGCAGCTACTACTGCAGCTGCAGTTCAGGTGGAAGATCATATGATCAAGGTTTTAGGCAGATGGTCTTCTGATGCCTATTGTAGGTACATCAGAACGCCCCAAGATTCCATCAGGAAAGCTCAGAGATCTATGGCTTTTGCTTGTCGATAATTAACAACAAGCTTTTTATTATTGAAATATTAAGACATAGT